GATAAAAATATCTTGGATAGTTTCTTTGAAACTGAGCTTTGAACAGAGCCAAACGCAAAGTGTAATGGAAGGACAGATGGAAGGACAGAAGGATGGAAGACGGACATGACAAACACTATATGCCCCAGCCATATTCATGGCGGGGCATAAAAATGTTGATGTAATTGAATAGCTCTCTTTCACATGTATAAGCATATAAAGTTTGACAAAACTATCTTTAATACATTCTTTGAAACTAAGCTAAACACAAATTTGAAGTCAGGGTCAAAGGAAAGGTCAAGAACCAAAATGCTGATGCAGTTGATTAGCTCTCACCAATTTGTCTCAGCATATAAAGCATATAAGGTTTGATCAAAATATCTTCAATAGTTTCTTTGAAACTGAGCTTAATATCATTTTAAGATAAGTGAAGTCAAGGTCAAAGGAAAAGCCAAGATCAAAAATGTTGATGCAGTTGAACAGCTCTGATCAATACTTATGGGTAAGCAGATAAGGTTTGATAAAAATATTTCAAATTCCTTTTAAATTGAATTAATTACTAACATGAGAAAGTGAGGTCAAGGTTAATAAGAAAACTATGGAGAAGCTGGACATCAAAGTCAGTAGTCTTTTTTTGTTGACAGAAACATTATCTCTCTGTTGCAGTTGAATTGCTCTCATCAATATGTATCAGCTTATGAAGTTTGATAATAATATCATGAATTTTTTATTTGAAACTTATCTTAACACAAATTAATGAGAAGTGAAGTCAGGTCATAGGAAAGGTCAAGGTAAAAAATGTTGATGAATTTGAATATACAGGGAAATTTTATTTTTGCCCCTTTCGCCCTACACATGGGTGGGCGAATTTAAAAGGGGGCGAATTCAAAAATCACAGTATAATTTGTTAAACAGAATTGCGACCGGGCGAATTTAAAACGGGGCAAAATTGTTTGCAAGTGTGAAAATAACCCTGTATACAGTTCTCATCAGTATGTATCAGTACGAAAGCTCATTGAGCTCATTTTCCTAGGTTAAAAAAAAATTTCTTGTTATAATGTGCAATTTTCGCGAATAAACGCGAAACTTTTGCGAAATTTTTGCTTTAAAACCTAGACATTTGCATAAATCCCCATTTTCTCTGGATTACATGATCTAGTTTATTCATTACAGTGAAAAACAAAAGACTAGGCTGTTCAAACATTTTCAAAGTCTTTGAGATTTTTTTTCCAAAGTGAAACTTTATAATGATAAATTTCGGGCAAAGACCTGGCCGCCGTATCAGCATATAAGGTTTGATAAAAATATCTTGAAAAGTTTCTTTGAAATTGAGCTTAACTCAGTGAGATGGAAGGACAGACGAAAGACACATGCATGAAAAGCACTATATGCACCGGCCATATTCATGGCTGGGCATAAAAATTATGAAATTTCTGTTTATAACAATATTTTCTTTACTTTTCCCTTCACCTGTCTTTTCTTAATGCAATGTCAAAGACTGTAACATCCTAGTTGAGTGGTTGAGACGTCATAGTTAGCAACTGTGATATTAAAAACATTGTAAAACATAGATATATCAACAATTTATTTGGAGAAACCTTGGCAGTTTTAGTCTCTGTCAGGATGATTTATTTATTTTCTGTATCTTATAACAGCCATGGAGTCTTAATTTTAAACCCCCCTAATCGAAGATTCGGGGGCATATAGTTTTTGCCCTGTCTGTCTGTCCATCCATCTGTTTATCCCCAAAAACTTTAACCTAGCCCATAACTTTTGATTGCTTGGAGCTATGGCTTTCATATTTCACAAGTTTATTCCTTTTGAACAGACCTTTCCTTGGATACCATCAAATTTGACCATTTGACCTTGGAGTTTGACCCACTTTTGCTAAATTTAATCAGACTTTAATCTTGCCATAACTTTTGAATAGTTGGATCTAGGGCTTTCAAACTTCACATGTGTATACCTTATGACAAGACTTTCCGTTGGATACCAACTTTGACCGTTTGACCTTGAAGTTTGACCTACTTTTTAAAAAAACGTTAACTTTGGCCATAACTTTTGAACAGTTGGTGCTAGCGCTTTCATACTTCACATGTGTATTCCTTCTGACAAGACCTTCTTATGAATACCAATAACTCTGACCCTTGACCTTGGAGTTTGACCTACTTTTGAAAAACATCAACCTTGGCCATAATATTTGAACATTTGGTTCTAAGGCTTTCATTCTTCAAAAGTGTATTCCTTGTGACAAGAACCTTACTTTGGATACCAACAATTTTTACCCATTGACCTTGAGGTTTGACCAACTTTTGAAAAACTTTAATCATGGCCATAACTTTTGAATGCTTGGTGCTAGGGCTTTCATATTTAACGTCTATTTCCTGTGACAAGACTTTCCTTTGGATACCAACCACTATGACCCCTTGACCTTGACCTAGAAGTTTGACCTTATTTTGAGAAAACTTTAACCTTGGCCATAACTTTTGAATGGTTGGTACTAGGGCTTTCATACTTCGCATGTATAATCCTTTTGACAAGACCTTTCTTTGGACACCAACCACTTTGATGGTTTGACCTTGACCTAGGAGTTTGACCTACTTCCCTTGGGGCACCATTTGACCTTGACGTTTTACTTACTTTTAAAAAACTTAAACCTTCACCATAACTTTGAACAGTTGGTGCTAGGGCTTTCAAATTTCACAGGTTTATTCCTTGATCGAGACAAGACCTTTCTTTGGGTACCAACATTTTTGATCTCTTGACCTGGAGTTTGACTTGCATTTGAGAAACTTTAACCTTCGCCATAAGCTGCCATACGGGGGCATCAGTGTTTCACAAACACATCTTGTTTTTTTACAATTCCCTTTGTGAAGGGAACCAAAATCTCAATTTTGCCGCACTTCTGATATTCTTTCACAGTGACAGAATTACTTCACACAGTGACAAAATATCACTTTTATTCATTAAACATAATATTTCATTGTTGAAAATGTAATGAAAAATAATTTTACAAGATCTTGATCTTAAGACCTTGATATTCCAATTCTGTGGAAGAAAGAGCATAATATATGCAGTTGGAAAAACTCAGATCATGTACCTAATCAGTTTCCAGTACATGTAAATTGATTAACAATTCTGTACTGACTCTTAAGATCTGGAGCCAAAACACATTGCTGGAAGGGGGCCTGTCAAGTTAACACTGTTTGATTCAGTAAGTTTATCATTCCAAAATCTGTGGACAGTGGCATGTTACAATTCTTTTAAAATCTGGCCCCAGCATCATGAAACAGACTTAGACTTAAGTCAAATTTGCAATCTCCTGTAAAATTTTTATTAATCATTGAATTAATTTCTAAATTTTGAGATAACGAGACTTTTGTAAAACAATATTGAAAAATCTTTCAGTTTTGGTTTGCTTGACTTCTACAATAATCAGGTACAAAATAAAGATTTTGACTTAAGCTTGAGATGTTTCATGATCCCGTGGCCTGGAACTTATCTACGAGGGTTATTCAAGAAATACGTAGAAAATGTCCTTCTTCGTCATATTATTTTTAAGAAATTAAAGATCAACATACATGTATATCATATGTTAAAAGTAAAAACATTTACTTTATTGATGTTAGCAGTTTCATTTGATTTTATCAAATGGAACTAATGTTACATTATTTTAAAATTAACGTTTTGTCACCATGGAGCACGCTTATCAATGTAACGTCAAAAACATAACGTCATGATAGATCTCAAAAATACACCAACTCTTCTTTTCACACTCGGTCTGCAGCGCCTTACACATTTATCTCAAAAGTTTCTATACCACTTTATACTTAGTTTGCTAACAGTTATTAGACTATCAAGATAATTTGTCAATGAATTCACTTTTTTTTTTTAATTTCTTTTTTTTAATAGTCGCCCATGTGGCGCAGTGGTTATAGCGTCTGCTCTAGAGTCGCGAAGTAAGGAGTTGATCCTTACATCGTGGGTTTGAATCCCACTGTGGAACGTGGAGACCGGTCCTTCGGATGAGACCGTATAAACCGAGGTCCGGTGTCGCAGTAGGTGTTGGCACGAAAAAGATCCCTCACTGTTCAATGGCCGTAAGTGCCGAGTATACGTCAAAATTTGTAGCTCTCCACCAGCAAGTGGTGGCTTCTCCACATGAGTGAAAAATTCTCCAGAGGGACGTTAAACAACATACAAACAAACAAACAAACACTTTTTTTTACCGTGTAACTTTGCTTTCACTTGTTCCATAAATGTGACCGCGCATCCCTTTCCCTGACGTAATTAACAGTTTGGACCAGATTAATTTCCTTGAAGGCCGTTCATCGCCCAATGAAGAGTTTCCTAAACTCATAAAATTCTGTGACATTTATACACACATGTGCGGCTAACTTTTGATATATTTTCTGCTTCCTTCAGCTTTTTCCGAGTTTGTTATAGAAATTTTCCGAGTGCAACACAAAATTGTATCGCTAATCACTGCTCCATGACATCCTACAACATCATCTTTTTTGCTTTTTTCAAGAAGCACTATTTGTCTTCTAAAATTGATTTCTGTTCAATGAAACAATATATTACATCACATTTCGGCATTTGAAATGTTGTAACTATACCAATCTTGAATGATCAACTTCTACTTTGTTTAAACGCTATTTAAAAGAGATATGAATATAGAAATTTATTGTGATCACATTACTAGTTTTTTGCTTGTTCCGTGACCTCACTTTTTCAGTTTTATATTTTCAGTTATTTTGAAATACACCAAGATATTTTATTTTCTTTTAAATTAAAATTATTCAGATTTATCATTAAAATATTTCTACTGAATTTGGTCATAACATGACGTTAAATGAAAGTATACGCATTTTTTGAATGACCTTCATATGTACTGAGTACCGGTATACATCTTCTCACTGTCTGTGGATACCAAAGTACTTGGTCTATGTCTACATTTTAAACCCTTAAACAATATATATTGACAATTTTTTATTATTATTTATTTTTGATGTATAAAAATTCAAATTACATTACAACAATGTTTCATTAACTTTTAGAAACTTTGACAAAAGCTATTTGGAAAAAAAAAGACCCCAAATGAATATTTTTTTCACTGAATGATAATCAAAATGGTAAAAAAAATGTATTGTCGTGCATAACAGAATACATACTTACACGTGTAAACTTTTCACTGTTAAATTTGAAAGCATTCCAATTACTCACTTTTTACATATACTGACACTTTCACCGATCACACAAAACAAGAAGTCTGTGAGCCAATGCTCACTAATAATACCCCCGCTCTGATGTGAATACACAAGTTCAGTTATGGACAGACACAGTGATAATCAGGAAATTGACATCAGATTTGTACAAAAATGAATCCCACCATATGGCATGCCTAAACAAAGAGTGTGTTAAAATTTAAAGCATCTGCAATGAGTAGTTGCTGAGAAAACTGCCACCCAAATTTGTTATGTATGGTACGGACAGATGCACCGATAAACAGGAAGTGGACATCAGATTCGTACAAAAATGATTCCCACCATATGGCATGCCTAAACAAAGAGTGTGCTAAAATTTCAAGCATCTGCAATGAGTAGTTGCCTTAGAAAACTGCGACCAAAATTTATTATGTATGGTACGGACAGATGCACAGATAAACAGGAAGTTGACATCAGATTTACAAAAATGGATCCCACCATATGGCATGCCTAAACAAAGAGTGTGCTAAAATTTCAAACATCTGCGATGAGTGTTGCTGAGAAAACCGCGACCAAAATTTATTATGTATGGTACGGACAGACACACAGATCAACAGGAAGTTGACATCAAATTTGTGCAAAAATGAATCCCACCACATGACATGCCTAAACAAAGAGTGTGCTAAAATTTCAAGCATCTGTAATGAGTAGTTGCTGTGAAAACTGTGACCAAAATTTGTTATGGACAGACACACAGACGGACAGACACACAAGGGTTAAACAGTATACCCCCCTCTCCTTCGGAACGGGGGTATAATTATGGGGGTGGGAGGGGATAAATAGTCCTCAGCCATAAAGTAAAGAATAGATTTTTTTTTAAAAAAAAAACAGGAAAATGAATCTACATCGATGGTGAACATATATTTACACTACATGAATTTAAAAGTCTGATATATTAAAGAAAATAAAAAAAGAGGAAAACTTACCTAGAGATTAGATAAAGCAAAGGTAGCCAATTAAGTATTCATAGAAATAATGGATTTATCAAGTATCACATTTTGATATGTTTGCATAAAATGGTTTTATCTGATTAAAACATGGACATGATGGTGACACAATAGCATATAAAATATAAGGACTCATAAAAGTTCATTTTAAATACACCACTTTATGATTTATCACATGTTGGAATTAAAACCATTCTGAGGTGCCAAATAAGATGTACATGACAAATCTTTAAACTTAATTCCACAAAAAAGTAAAACTCTCAACTTTCAAGCAAGGTTTTTTTAAGTAAGATGCAGTGCGTGGGTTTTAAGAACAAGTATAACAATTTCCATACTATATTTTCAGAAATGACTGTTACTATATTACAACAATCAATATATACAGAGAACAGTACAAAACAGACAGAGAATGTGGATGTCTACAATAATCCATAGCACTACACATTTGTAAGATGTGATGTTGACTTTACTCCAATGAGAACACAAGGATCTATTAAGTAAGAATTTTGTAAACATGATTTGAACAACCCTTCATGTTACGTATAAAGATGCTGCCTTCAGATTCAGTATTTGTACTTTGTACATGAGTTCTTCGAACATGTACCCTCTTCATTATTCCTTCATGGAATCTAAGTCAAGAACATTAATACTTTCAAGATGGCACAAGATTCATTTTGAAAATGAAATTAATGTTTGCTGAACTGCTGAAAATATCAGTGATGGCAATCCAAAGCAGAAAATAAAATCTATTTTTTGCTCCCTGATTTCAAGTCTGAATTAGATTTTCTAAATGCTTTCCTTAAAGAGGAACTCTTTTTTGATTTCAGTGAGGAACTGGAGCTCTTCAGTGAGGAAGATGAACTTTTGAGTGAAGATTTGGAATTCCTCATGGAAGAGGTAGAACTTCTCAAAGAGGAAGCAATACTTGACAAAGAGGACAAGGAATCCCTTTTTGTCATCTTCACATTCTCCTTCCCTGAGGATTTTCTTTTGTTTTTTCTTGAGGTCTCTCCTGGTGATCCATCAGAAATGAGGTCATCACTTTCTTCCTCAGACAAGGACTGCAGATCTGCGTCAGGGAAGGGCTGTAACTCTGTCTCGGACAATCCATCAGACTCTGAAGACTGGCCCACTGGTTCAGGACGTTGACCAAGGTACTGCTCCAGTTCCTTGGTTGGATTCTTTACAGTTTTTAAGATGCTGTTCAGACACTGCAGCCACTGCCTTTTATCATGTTCATCTGCAGCGATCAGTGTATGAGATTGTCCTTTGCTACCATCCACAAAGCCCACTCGGAAGATATTCTTTACTGCAGACAATTCAGAAGCATTTAAAGTATATTTTAATTAATACAGATTCTACACAAATATCAGTAATTACATGTATATGAAAAAAAATACTTTCTCTTTCCATTTCTGTCAATTTTACATTGTACCTAATTAAACAGAAAGCTTTATTTTGATGCCTGAATAAAACTTATAATGATAGCACAGTTACAGTCCCTGAAACGTTCTACTTTCCCATTTTTCCGTTCGCTCACCATTCGTTCACCGTTCAATCAGCGTGCGTTCACCGTTCGTTCACCGTTCGCTCTCCGTTCACAGTTTTGCGTTCACCGTTCACCGTGCGCTCGCGTTCACCGTTCACAAAGCGTTCAGCGTTCGCTCTTTGTTCCGTTTACTTTGCGTTCACCTTGTGTTCAGAGTTCACCTATTGTTCAGTTGTCATTGCCATTCGGAACTCCCAAGTGAAAGGACTTATCTTTTTGTAGGTAAGGAGTTACAGATTTTTTAATTTAATACTAACATATCGTGTTTGAAGAATCATTATTTCATGGGGGAAAAATCTAAGATATATATTTTTTATTATTCTAACTTAGCTATTAGGTTATTTATTAAATTACTCTGGAAAAAAAATGTTCTTACATGTATAAGCACATCCTGTACCTATGTAGAACGATGCTGAAATATTAAATTTAACTAAGGCCAATGTGCAAATACTTCAAGCACTGCAACATTTTGATGTTTTGTTAAAGACGACAAATCGTTAATGGAGATATAATTATCCAAGTCAAATAATTACGCAGCAAAATTACGAAAATATTTATTTCTAACACGTTTTTTTTTTATTCAATTACTACAGAAAATATGATAGAACTAGTTCTGAGAGTTATACATAGTACTGCGGATATCCTGTTAATTTATTATCTTTGGAGCGAATTAAATTGATAGTGTGTTTAAAGGAAATATTTATTTAAAATGTAATGCACTACAAAATATTCGCTACTATAATACATGTATGTAAAGTCTATAGTTATAGAAAAAAAAATCTTTTTTCACCATTACTTTATATGTTTGCTATTCGATATAATTAATACCCCCCCTTTTCCCCTAAATCGGTTACTTAGTCAGTTCTGTATTTCCAGAAAATTTTAATTAACCTGTTAAAAAAAAGTTAAGGTCTTTTTTAGAACAAAAATTTCAGTCTCAAAACAAACATGCATCTAAAAAAGTCACAATACAATTATAGTAGTTCAAAATGTACACGTGTCGGCGGTGGTATTTGAAATTGGCAGAGAGTATGTTTCAAATTCAAGTGTTAATGCCCAATATATTTTATTCACTAATTATTCAAATGTTGGTGTCAAATCTAGAAAAGATAAAAATAAATGTTATAACTTGTTGGAAATACTAGCAACTTCGTCTTCGATGTGACGAAACTTTCACACCTGCACAGTGTCGAATGATTTTGATTGACAGGACAAGCACGTGGACTTCGTGTGAACTTGAAGCAGGAAAATAAAAACGAGTAATACTGTCAAACAGATGGATATGATTTGTTGATAAAAAAAAAAAAGTTACTTTCACTGTCAAATATATATAGAAAAAATATCAGAGTTATTGTTTGATATAGGTGCAAACATTTAGTGAAGCCTGAAAGGAAGGGGGGGGGGCTGAAACGGAATCTCTCTCTCTCTCTCTCATTTGTCTGTTTGATAAAAACTATAACAGCATATTACTTAAATATCAAGGTCTGAAAATTGAATTTATAACAAATAATATGAATATGTATCTTTGTATTATCTTGTCTGAGTATAATCACGGCCATCTACAGATACATGTAGAAGTCTGCTCAATAAATCATCATGAAAAATAGAAATGACACATAATATATTATTGTATTAAACATTTAAAATACGAGCGTATAAATGCAAAACGTCCACTGACCTTTGTAATTAATTTATTTTTATTACTCTACATGAAATCGCCTTGACACGGAGAAACATATATGAATGGATGTTACAATCGCTTTAATTCATTCTATAAGTCAGAAGTTTTCTCTGATTTGTTATCAAATAAGAATAAACATTTTTATTTTCCAACTAAAAAAATATCTTTTATACTTCAGCGTTCGGCAACAATTGCAATGTTTTAATGCGTTAAAAATCGTGTGATTAAAAACTTAATGTGCATGAATCGTCTTTCTAAGGACAATTTTGAAGAATTTATTTTATTTACTTATTTATTCATTCATTTATTGGTTTACTTATTTATTATTTTTTTTTTTTTTTTTGGCACCTGACATTATAATACAATAAAATAGTTTCAATGCAAGGAAAAGATCAGAGGCATTCCGAATATATCGTTCATCTTGCGTTCACCGTTCGTTCACCGTTCACTTTGCGTTCGCGTTTGCGCTCCGTTCGCGTTCTGCGTTCGCTCACCGTTCACACATCGTTCACCAAGTTGCGTTCAGCGTTCACACATCGTTCACTCACCGTTCGCTCTGCGTTCGTTCACCGTTCAAGTGGGAAAGTAGAACGTTTCAGGGACTGTAACATCAGCAGCATTACAATTTAAAAATGGGAACAAGTACAAGTATTTGTGAAACACTAAGATCAAACAGTCAAAACTCCAACCTGCCATTTGACCTTCATATGTTATAAAATTTTGACCTTTCACTTTCAAAATTTAACTGACCGATGTCAAAATTTAGTTTCTTTCATAATTCACAGGTTACCGTATAGCGGGTTTCTTTAGGGGGAGTAAAATTTGGCGGTTTGCTTGCTCAAAAGTATGCCAATAATTTTGGCAAAACTTTTTTTGCGGACACACAGTTCCATGACGTTGTAAAAGAGAGGAAGTTCATCTTCTAGATGAGTTTTCAGCACGTTTATTATAGGTTTGAATACTGATATAGGCAAGAGTTTGAGTAAAAACCAACACCAGATGAAAGATATCTTGTTTATCAACAGACTGACCAAAGTTATTTCACTTGTATTCATTCCTTATATGCAAGGGTGCAAATTTAGCGATCAAAATTTTATCTCGCTACTCCACCCCACTAAAAATTCCCCCTATACGGTATTTCTAAGAATACTGTTTTCAGGCAGAACTTAAAAGATTAAAAATCAGTTCTCTGAAACTTTGTATACCCATTTTTTTTTTAAATACATACCTGTTTGTCCTGATCCAAAAGCACTCCTAAATGAGCCCACTTTGACCTCTCCATCTTTAAGGTCTTCTATCACTAAATCCTCTACAGGAATAGGCTGTCTGTATACCTGGTATCCCTGGTGACCGTTGGTATTAACCAGACGGGTAACAACAAGAACTTGGTTAAACAAGAATATGTGAAGTTTCTGAAATAAAACATGACATCATTTTGTATTCTTTTATCACCTTGACAAACAAGATATTACTTACAGCAACTGCTATTTAACAAAATGTTCAAGTTTCAGTGCTTCCAATTGAAAAATTGAATAGTTAAATATTTTAATATATCTCAACAACTGACCAAAACACCAAAACAGTTCCATTTATAAAATTATCAGCAGAGATCTGTTGTTTGGATTTATGTAAATTAAAAAACTCACACTGCCTTTGTTGTTCTTCAGACTCCCATTACAGACAAGCATGGTGGAATTGTCCAGGGCCTCACACTTCTGCAAACATTTTTATATAACAAAATTACAGTACTAGTTTGCAAGAAAAATGTTTTCAAAACAATTCCTTGTACATAAATATATTGCATATTTTCTGCTGATTCATTATGTGCATTTCACTTGGGCAGATTGTGATATCATTTCACTTGGGCAGATTGTGATATCATTTCACTTGGGAAGATTGTGATATCATTTCACTTGGGCAGACTGTGATATCATTTCACTTGGGAAGATTGTGATATCATTTAAGCAGAGGAAATAATTGGGCAGAAAAAATTATTCTTTTCAAAAGGGCAACCTACGTATGAAAACCAGAGATAGAGTAAGTCAGCTGAAAAGAACTAAATGTAAGCACTGTGCATAAAATACTAATCAATAAATATTAAAAGAACACAACACTGTAAACTATTGATTGACACTCTGTTCAAATGTTTTCAGTTGCAATAAAGGGAGAATATTGCAATACGCTGTTATGTATATATGTAGTATGTACATGTATGTTAACTTTTTACCTGCAAAAGAATTTGCCCAAATGAAAACAAGAGGCCTATGGGCCACAACGCTCACCTAAGTCACTTTTGCCCTGCTGTTCTGAGTCAAGATTTTCCCTCAACATACATGTTTTCCTCTTAATTTACTCATCTTTTGTGGCCCCATCCTATACACAGAGGCTGTTATTTGAAAAAATATCTACACTACCAGAACATGCTTCAACATTAATTTGATTCATCATGGATTTCCTCTTGAGAAGTTTCAAAGATTTTTACCTATATAATCCCTATTATGGCCCATGGATTTCCTCTTGAGAAGTTTCAAAGATTTTTACCTATATAATCCCTATTATGGCCCAACTTGACCCCAGGGGACGTGTTATGAACAATTTACAATCTTTACTACCTCAGGAAGCTTCTACCTTAGTTTCAGCTTTTCTGGTCCAGTGGTTTTTGACAAGAAGATTTTTAAAGATTGTTCCTATATATTTCAAAAACTTTGATTCCCTATTATAGCCCCACCCTACCCCTGGAGCCATCATTTGAACAATTTAGAATCTATGCTACCTCATGAATCTTCCACATAAGTTTCAGTTCTTCCTGTCAAATGGTTCTAGAAGATTTTTACAGATTTTTCCTATATATTTTAATGTAAAACTTTGATTCCCTACTGTGGCCCCAATCTACCCCTGAGGACCATGATTTGAACAATTTAGAATCTACACTACCTAAGGAAGCTTCCACATAAGTTTCAGGTTTTATGGGCCAGTGGTTCTTGAGAAGATTTTTTTAATAACCCCACCCTACTTTTGCCTTTTCTTGATTATCTCCCATTGAAGGGGAGTGTGGCCCTTCATTTTAACAATTTAAAATCCCCTTCACACAGGGATGTTTTGTACCAACTTTGGTTAAAATTGGCCATCTGGTTCTTGAGAAGACGTTGAAAATGTAAAAAGTTTACAGACAGCTAGACAGACGGGAGGACATCAGGTCCCAGGAAGAAACAAACTTAGACTCAAGTCAAATTTTCAATCGCCTGTAAAATGCTTCATAATTGTCGACTTAATCTCTAAATTTGCAGATAACAACACTTTTGCAAAGCAAAATTGAAAAATATTTTAATTTTGGTCTGCTTGATTTCTTTAACATTTTAGAACAACATGAAGATTTTGACTTAAGCCTAAGATGTTTCATGATCCCAGGGCCAGATGATCAGAAAACCTCACTAGAATTGAGCTTTTAGTTTGTTTGTTTGTTGTTTAATGTCCCTCTTGAGAATTTTTCACCCATATGGAGACACCACTAGCCAGTGGAGGGCTGCATTTTGACCTATACTCGGCACTCAGGGCCATTACAATGAGGGATCTTTTTTTGTGCCAGCACCTACTGCGACACAGGACCTTGGTTTATATGGTCTCATCCAAAGGACCAACCTCCATGTCCCACAGTGGATTTGAACCTGTGACATAAAGATTAATTCCTTAAATCAAGACTCTAGAGCAAACACTTTAACCACTACGACACGCAGGCGACTTAAGCTTTTAGCTCAGGTGAGCTAAAAATACAACCTAATTCAGAGAATTTGTGTTAAGAACTGGAAAAATTTTGCAGATGGAGAAAAAAAAAGTCAACTTCGACCTTTCAGCTTTTGGTCTTTAAGTTAAAAGGAGTCTTTTCAAAGTTAAAGAAAATTATGATGACCAAAAGCTTCACTGCAAAAGCTTACAAAAGCCTAAAATCACTATCTGAAAATTTTCTGACCTTCACCTTTGTTTGTTTTGTTGTTTTTTTTTTTGTTTTTTTTTTGGTGAGGCCAGGTCCTATTGGGGAGTTGTGATATAAAATTTCATTGTAAAATCTCAACTATATTTATTTAAAATATAGTTTGGGGAAAAAAAGTGTTACACACACAGAATGCTTGAAATTATGACCTTGACCTCTGAACTTTTGACCTCAAAATGGATAGGGTTCTTCTTTAGGCAAACGGAAATTATGATAATAAATTTTAATGACGAAAGCTAAAAAAAACTAGAAATATGTCCATAGGACATGAATGCCCCGCCGAGGATATGTTAGTAATGCAACATGAAAATTTGTATAAGTGTATGAAATTTGATGAGAATATCTTGAATAATTTCTTTAAAATTGAAATCTAAAAAATTGGATATAGATGATAAATACATAAATATATCTATATATAAATATGGTTTCTTTAAAATTAAGCAAAATGCAAATCTAAGAAAATTGAGATCATGGTCACAGGAAAGTTCAAGGTCAAATGTTTTTGATGCAGTTGAATACTTCTCAAAAATACCTATCAGCATATTTAAGTTTGATAAAAATATTTTGAATGGTTCATTTAAAACTGAGCTAAACACTAATTTAGAATAAATGAAGTTAAGGTCAAAGGAAAGGTCAAGGTCAAAAATTGTTGATGCAGTTGAAAAGGTTACATCAGTATGTATTGCAATATGAAGTTTGATAAAAATATTATGAATGTTTTCTTTAAAACTAAGTTTTAAAAAATGAGAAAATTGAGGTCAAGGTCAAAGGAAAGGTCAAGGTCAAAAAATATTGATGCAGTTGAATAGCTTACATCAGTATGTATCAGCATATGAAGTTTGACACTAATTTAGAAAAGTGAGGTCAAGGTCAAAGGAATGGTCAAGGTCAAAAATATTGATGCAGTTGAATAGCTCTCATCAGTATGTATTAACATATGAAGTTTGATAATACTGTATTGAATGGTATTTTTAAAACTGAACTAAACACTAATTTAAGAAAAGCGAGGTCAAGGTCAAAGGAAAGGTCAAGGTCAAAAAATATTGATGCAGTTGAAAAGCTCTCATTAGTATGTTTCAGCATATGAAGTTTGATAAAAATATCTTGAATGATTTCATTAAAACTAAGCTAAACACTAATTTAAGAAAAGTGAGGTCAAGGTCAAATGAAAGGTCAAGGTCAAAAAATGTTGATGCAGTTGAATAGCTTACATCAGTATGTATCAACATATGAAGTTTGATTACACTACCTTGAATGGTATCTTTAAAACAGCACTAAACACTAATTTAAGAAAAGTGAGGTCAAGGTCAAAGGAAAGGTCAAGGTCAAAAAATGTTGATGCAGTTGCATAGCTCTCATCAATATCTATCAGCATATGTTCAGTTTGATAAAAATATCTTGGATAGTTTCTTTGAAACTGAGCTTTGAACAGAGCTAAACGCAAAGTGTGACGGAAGGTCAGAAGACGGACATGACAAACACTATATGCCCCGGCCATATTCATGGCCAGGGATAAAAACTAAAGTTATCATCTGGAAAATGTTGTCTGCAATGTATGAATCTATGACCTTTGACCTCAAAATCAAAAGGGATCTTTTTTAGACCATAAGGAGTTGTGATATAAAATTTCATTGTAAAAGCTCAAAGACTTTAAGATATTGCCTGAAAACAAAAGTGTTACACAAAAACAAAATGAATGAATTTATGACCTTGACATTTGGACCTCAATACGGGTCTTCTTTAGGCCATAGGAAGTTGTGGTATAAAATTTCACTGCAAAAGCTTAAAGGCTTCTCGAGATATCACCTGGAAATGAAAGTGTTACACATAGACAGAATGTATGAATTTATGATCTTGACCTCTGACCTTCTGATCTCAAAATCAATAGAGGTCTTCTTTGACCATAGGAAGTTGCAATATAAAATTTCATTGCAAAAGCTCAAAGGCTTCTTAAGATATCGCCCAGAAACTAGTGTTACACACAAACAGAATGTATGAATTTATGAACTTGACCTTTGGACCTCAAAATCATTAGGAGTCTTCTTTAGGCCATAGAGTTGTGATATAAAATTTCATTGCAAAAGCTCAAAGGCTTCTCGAAATATTGTCTTAAATGAAAATGTTACAGACAGTAACATAATTACAGCTAGACAGATGGACAGACAGGCCCAAATAAATATCTCCCACTTTCAGTGAAAGCCAGGGACAAGATTTGCCCAAATGAAGATAAAAAATTCTGCCAAATTGAAAGAATTGAATTTGCCCAAATGAAATGCATCCGATTTACATTTCACTGTTAAACTAAACAGAGAATAAACATTGCTGTGAAAGAAACTTTAACAGAAGATTAAGTAAAAAAGAGAGAGACACTTTCATGTAACAAAACTCAACAAAATAAGACATAAACATCACACAAAATGCATAAATTACATTAAAATGGGAATAACTGATCCTCATTTGTTATCTGGGACTGTTAATTTAATGCTCATTTAACGATCACAAAAATTTGTTTTACTGGCTCTGCTTACATGTTGCCAGTAAAACTCAGTTTGCAACCGTTAAATCAATATCAACGGTCCCAAATAACAAATGAAACAGTTCTTTCCTAAATTTTATGTGGAATCTAAATCCATCTTTGTAAGACAAGGGTTTCTGATCCACTATGAGCAGCTGATCAGAAACCCTTGGCTGGCAAAGATGAATCTAAGTCATCATCTTTGTAGAGACCATCCTACCTCCTCCTCATAGAGAAAGGAGATCCTGCCTGCAAAATATCTACATTTGGCTTCTCCTGTTTTATGGTCTGCCTCAGATATTATTTTCTCTGATATCTTTATCTATAAAAGACAAGAATTCATGACATAAAATTCTTTGGAAATATACCAATCCTCCAAAAATTAAATATCAGGGAATGTGCCATATATACATATTAGATCATTTTAACTGAATGCATTTTAGATTTTAAAAAAAATAAACCAAGTAAAAAAAAATACTTTTTAAAGTTTGATATCTTACCGATTCTTGTAGATATTCTTTATCTTCGTCTGTGTCACATGTCTGTTTATAAGATTAAAACATGAATTGAAGACTTATCAGAAGTGACCACTTAATACAGAAGATACAGGAAAACTTGTCAATCCGGACACCACTGGTTCCAGAGAAATTGGCCAGATTAGACAACATTCCAGATTAGATAACATTTTGAACAATGAAAATTACTGAAAAGGATGCCAAGTTAATATCATATTAGGCAAGATTTTGGAATATACAATATCCGTATTAAACAAGTTTCACTGTATTTTGTCATACAAGGGAAATGCGGCAAAACACCCCTCCTGCCATACATTTTCTATGGAGATATTTGTATTAGTATATAGCATGTGTATTAGTATATAGCAAACCTGAAGTATAAAATATCAACATTTTGATAAAATGGACTGGAAGTAGTACAATGTACATTATAAACATCCATATAAACAACTTGGGAATCAAATTTTAGTATATTGTGAAGAATTTTCAATGGAAGAAAAAAATATATAAATAAGGCCAAAATAAAATTACTGTTTGTTTGGAATTGCCTCCCGCCTCCTTGAAATGACTCCTCCTGAAAAAATTTTATTGACCAAAAATAAGAAGATTTTTTATTCAATCAATTTCTGGTCTATTATCACATGTGCCACCTAATCACTTAAAAAGTGTTGGATTTCAGTGAAACTGGGTTCATGGTTGATGGAAGATACCCTTTACAAAAAAAACAGAAAATTATGTTTTCACTGCTTATTGAGATTTTTATCACCAAGTTTTAAGTAAACTACAATATTGAGGAAAAAAATAATTTCCCTCCCTCCCTCCTGGATCTGAAACCTCCCAGGCAGCAGTTCCAAACAAACAATTTTTTAAGGATGGCCTAAGTTTATCATTTAACAAGTCTTAGATTAAAATACTTATTTTCAGACTAACAAATTCATTATGATTAAATGATTAAACATTCCTTTATCAGTTTTGAAGAGGGAAGCCTACCTTTTTTAACTAAACTTCATAAAACAAATATCTGAACACTTTCCAGAAACAATTTGAACACTTTTGCATTCTGTTTTCTTTCTTTTTTATTTCATGATTCTTTGGTTTTCTGCCTCTGACAATATGATCAGTGTTTATTATTGTCCACCTTGAGTTATTTAAACAGTTAAATAACTTAAAATTGGCTTTCTTTTCAGTTTGCATCATTTAAAAACTAACTGAACATTAAATCCCAGCATATTTTTTTAAATATGGAAGCCAAAGCACTTGACAATCTCAAATTATGCCAGATTCATAAATTTCTTGTGTAACATATAGTGCAAACAAGAGACTCATGGGCCACAACGCTCACCTGAGTCACTACGGACCTTCTGTTCTTCATCATCAGATTTTTCCTCCTTTATATTCCTATGTAAAAGTTTGATTGCCTTATGTGTAGGGTTGGATACCATTAAGGATGAAATGGTACGATACCATACCAGTATTTTTGAAACAATACGGTATTTTTAACGATATGGTACTATACCTTGATGAATGAGAATAAGGGTTCATTTCATAACATATATGCTTTCACCAATCATCAACCTTTCAATGTTATAACCTAAAGTGAGCTTATAAACTATGTTTATATTTCAACCTTTTAATAAATGATAAACAGAACAAACAAATTGAATCTCAAACAAATTAACTTGAATAGATACATAATCACAAGTATACACAACTTCCGTGGTTACTAGGACCCATTTTGTTTGGTTGCACTAAACAATGCAACATTAGAAGATGGATAGAAATGCACATCACATTTTTGCGACATTTTGCCTTTTTAAGGTATGTCACTCGTCAGCTTTTTAGGAAAGTTCAGTCAGATCCTTTAACTTCAAAATTATTTATTACAATTCAAGTTTCATAACATATTTAAATTAAACAATGCAAATTATTCAACATTCAATTAAAAAACTGCTCATAAATTCATAAAGAAGCAAGATTTATGAGGGACTATTTCTTGTGGTGGAAGGATATTTAGAAGAAAATTCTTCAAATCTACACATTTGTTAAATTTAATATCTTGGAACTTTAGACCCACATATTTTAACTTAGAGAATATTTTCCGTTATGGTATGCTAGGAATATTAAATATTAGTCTCAATTTATATTTTTAGAACAAATTTTACACATTCACTCAACAGACTTTGCCAAGAAATGAATTTATATTAAAGAAGTCAAGATAAAATTTACACCGTTTTTTGCCTGAAAATCGCACATTTTGACCAATATCTCAAAATTTACATCACTGACCCCAACCTTTTCTTTCATTATTTTTAACAACCTGATACTTCCAACCGATCAGCACTTAGGTCATAAAAAGTTTGATACAAGAAAATATTTTATTGCCTACTTAGATTTTTTATACCCCAAATGTGATACTTTTTAGTGCAAAAAGGTCACACAATAATTAATGCGCATTAATTTGCATGAATTGTTCAATGATAAATATTATTCAAACTATTTTACGTAAAATAGGATTATATTTATTGTCATAATTACATCTGATAAAATATGATAAAGATAATAGTGATTAACCAAAGAGTTACAATTTAAGTGCAAAAAGGTCAACTTAATTGTACCGTAGCTCAGTAAGATGCACACTGACCCCCCATTTTCTTTGCAATTTTGAGTCATGCTATATGAGTACTTACCTAAAATATACTTCTCAAAAAATCCTTGATATAACTAATTTCACGAGTGACATACCTTAATTTACATTTATTATCAGTTTTTATTAATTAAGTTAAAACATGATTAATTTTAATGTATCTAAATTTTTTTTTAATAAAAGAGATATACGTACTGATTTACCTCGAATATCGGCAGTCGAAAGCAAGTGTCGTATAGTCATACTAAGCATCCATTTCGTTAATTAGCCTACCCTTTCAATGTGCCGAGAATTCTATTTTAGCGAGTTTTAAATCATTTTGAATGTATTATAATGTTTCTAAGATTAAGAAAATAGTACTGTTATAAGTACCGGTATTAAATGAAACGGTATTTTACCAGTATTTTTGAAGTAACTATTCGGTACAGTATTGGTACCGAGTACTGGTATCCAACCCTACTTATGTGGCCCTACCCAACCCCCTTGGATCATGATTTTTAATAACTTTGAATCTAGACTACCTACCCCTCACAAAAATGATTTTTTTCCCCCCAATGATAAAACCATTTTCCCAATTTCAAATGTAAGGAAATTATATGTTGAAATTTTAAACCAATGTCACCGAAACTGCTGATAAAGAATTTTTTTTTGTTTACTTCAAACCAAGGTACATGCAAAAGGGTTTGTGATGAATGTGTAAAACAATGGAGGTATCCATATAAGCAGAGACACAGGGAATTTTTTACTCACCCAAAGGGGGGAAATAGGATATTCAGGGGTAATTTTCTCTTTGGGAAAAATACCTAATATCGGTAGTAAATATGCCCAGCATTAATTCCTGAACGGACAAATTTCATTCAGAAAAGCCCTCTTCAGACTTCAATTAAGGTGAGCTAAAATTACAGCACAATCCCACAAAATATGCATTCTACATTTACCTCTGAGAAGCATTCAATTTCAATGCATTATTTAGTAATTAGCAACACTAACAACACAGATGAAGTGTATCTTGGTGTACTTTTTATTGTTCCAAGTTCTTGAACTTTTTGAAACAAAAAAATTTCACAGATATTTCTGGTTTTAGAAACCATGGCAGCACTGATTGGTTAATTAAAAAAATACCAATGAAGTACCTAGCCACCTACTCATCAATAGTAGAACATAATACCCAGTAATTAATTAGCAGGGAAGAAAATATTTGAAAGATACTGCCATGAGGAATATAAAAGCAAAGGCTGAAAGAATAACAAATGAATGAATTACGAGTTGCTGCTGCATTTGTTTATCCAAATTAATTGAATTAAAATATACACTTACATATTTGTGAATGGCTTTTAGCAATAAAGGATATTTCATAAACTTCCCTCTGGCACCATCTGAAAAGTCAAGCACAGTTTATTACATTTTTAACATTGAAATACTGTAATTTATTTACTAAATAAAAAAAAATATTCTAACACAGTGTGAAAGGATATCAAAATGGTATTCTCACAGTGAGAGAATATCAGAAGTGCGGCAAAACTTACAATTTTCCTTCACTTCATGAAAAGCGATTTTAAAAAAATCCCTGGCCTGTTATAAGATAGACTTAATAAGCCATCCTGACAGAGACTAATAGTTATAGTGCCAAATATGTCGTTTGCAACATTTTTCAATCTCGCAATCGCTTAGCTATGACATCTCGACCACTGAACTATGACATCACACCTAAGACACTGTGTTACGAAAAGACAGAGGCAAAGGGAGAATCTAAGAAAATGTAATAAACAGAAAATTCAATGTTTTGTAGATGAATATGGAATTTATTTCACTCATAAGAAAGGATTTTTTTATATTTTCAAAATATAAAAAAAAATTTTGTCCCACTTGTGAAATAAATTCCATATTCATCTATAAAACAGAGAATATCCTCTATATACTTTACAATAAGTTAACATATATACAGGTGAAGAGAGCAGATTTTGAAGAAGTAAAAATCTTCAAAATACAGTATGGTCAACAATAGGCCCGTGGGAAAAATGTAACCTGAGTCACATTGGTCCTGGCCTCAAAACCATAAACTGAGAACAGACTTAAATCAAAATTTCTATTTTGAATATTTTGATACCTGGTTAGTAAATTCCATACCTGGCTCGGCGATTTGCGTTTTATTTAACATACATACTTAAGAATTTGCAGATTAGTAAAATAATCCAATTGAAACATATGATGAACATTTTGTTTCATTATCAAAATTATTTCAAAAGTTCTTCAGAGAAAGATTTTTAAAAAGAATTTTTCCCACTCTATTCACATGATAATTTTAACCCACATTGTATGACTACTATTATACATTTATTGACTGGGTTTGAGGGCAACATGCGTTTTGTCAGACACAATCAGGGCTTGAAATAATTGATGGCCCGCTGGTCTGGGGCCAGTAAATTTTGGATTTGGGCAAGTGCTTTGTAGAAAGCACATGTCCTTGGGACTAGTGATTATTTTATGCATATCAAAATCAATTCACTGTCGGGCTAGTTAACTAGACAGGTTTGTGTGTCGAGGTTCTATTTTGATGCAAACAATTCCTTGTTTTGTTAGGTTGTACAATGAAGTAACGCAATGTAAATTCAACATCACAAATATTTCTAACAACAAAGTTTTTGAATACTTTTGAATATTTTAACGTTTTCTAAAGGTGGAACGAGATAATTTAAATGAAGTATTATGAAAACAAGAAATATGTTCATAAACAAGGACTACGCAGAATCTGAAAGTGGCACTACTAGAGATGATTAAAAATCAAGATTCAACTGTGAAGAAATGATTTTTATAACTGTTGATTATTAAAATCGGAAAATAAACTCAAGGTTACATTAAATGTGCTCTGAATTTTATCCCCTCACAACAAAGCTGGAGCAGATACAGTAATGGGCTTGTTTGGGTGAGTGAGTGCATGTGTAATGGAAGTTGCCAGGATCAATGTGCTCTTTTGCCAGGGAATGCTCTGCCTTTCGGTGCCCTTGTTTAAGCAATGGTTTTGGGCCAGTCTTTTTCATACCTACTAGCCCAATGGGAAAGTGATAGTTATGGATTGACCAGTAAAATTTAAATTTGATAGCCCGAGTGACCAGTGAAAAAAAATTATTATTTAGAGTCCTGCACAAAAACCAATCTGTTTGCCTGAGGCTGTTAGGCCACAAATTGAACAAACTTAAATATGCACTACATGAGAATGCTTGCATATAAATATGACTAAACATAGTCTTGCAATTCTTGAGATTTTTTAAAGAATTTTTTCCTGTACAAGGGTTGTCCAGTTAAATCTGGGACATTGTGTTTTAATTGATTAAAAATAAGCGCACTGAGCTGAAATTTTTGTCAAATGTTTCTTTATCATATTTTAAAACATCTGAATATTTTTGATAAATCATATGCAAATATAAGGATTTTATAATGCTTGAATGTGCACAAGGTATGGTCCCTACTACACTATAAAATGGCAAAGTTTGATGTCACTAAGGCACACTGGAAAGCAGTTCAGTTTTATGTGGATTAAGTAATAATGACGCCTTAAGAGATTAAAATAGAAGAAAGAATATATAAAGTTATCAGTACAGACAATCACTACTGGTAATATTAAAAGACGCTGTCACTGCGGACTGCCAGAATAATATTGCCTATTCAGTTCAATGAAAGTAAGTGTACCTAATACAAGACTTCTGAAGGTAATGTGTGAGCAAGATTGGTCCCTCGACTGTTTATGGAGGAATAAAGGGGAACTTCAGTGTGCATATTCTATGAAGTTCCTGGAATTCAAGTGATGCTTATCTGACTTTTTTGAGCAAAGATAAAACAAGAGGTTGCTTTAGACACAATCAGTGCACCTAAAGCCATCTCTAATTTCATCTTTTATTTATTTGATCATATATCTATTTGAAAATTGCTACATGTATTGATGAAACAAGTACTAAAGAGTAGGGAAGCTTTTAGAAAGCAGTTTTATTACTTTTCACTCTTATCAACTTGTCCATGATTTTATTGGACAACCCTCGTATATCTCTACATAAAATTTTGATCATCTTATATGGCCCCATCCTACCCCTTGAACAAACTTGAATTGAACAAATTTAAATCTACACTATGTCAGGAAGCTTTCACACAATTTTTTTTTATTTTCTGACCCAGAGGCTCTTGAAAAGATTTTTTAATGATCCCACACTATTTTTCGTCTTTCCTTATTATCTCTCCTTGGAAAGGGATAGTGTAAGGTACTTGAATCTTCTTCACCCAAGGATACTTCGTGGCAAGTTTGGTTGAAATTGGCTCCGTAGTTCTGGAGATTACAACAATGACCACAACAATGATGACAAAAGAAAACAGATTAATCTAACTAGAAGAGTTCACACATGACTCTTGCTCATTTGAACGAAAAATTGCTTTTTAAAATATTTTTTTTTATATTTTGAACCTAACCATAAACATTTATCAAACATTACCTAACAAAGTCCATAGGTCAAGTTTACGACTGAATGGGGAATCCTGGCACCTCTGTAGAAAATCATCAACAGCTGGATCATTCTTTTTCTCATCCAACATAGCTTTCCCAAATACCTGATTGGCACAAAATGGAACATATTCCTTCAGTTTCTGCACCTGTACAGACAAAGAAATATTTTACTCAGTTGAGTTCCTTCTATCAGGTGGATAAGCTGAAAGTTCTAATTGTCCACACAAACAACCTGGTCTGCTTTGTTTTAATAAAGATTTAAAAAACAAAGTATATGACTTACTGCTCTTGCACATATCATTTATAGTTAACAGATGCAAAGTTCTAGTGGCATTTGTTATAGCAATAAGCATAACTAATTTCAAAGTAAGTTCTTTAAGTGAAATAAATTTCACAGGAGACAATTTTCGCAAAAAAGTAAGCACTTTAGACACATCCCAAATCAGTGTGTTGTTGTCCAAGGTAGTATTACTGCTTTATTGTTGTGCCCATATAAGTTCAGAATGTTTTTCTAGCTAGGGTAACAGTCACTGGTTTATAAATTTGTAACTATGCGGTTGGAGTTTATTTTCTATCTAGGAATACTGCATTATTGTTTATAGCTGCTTTGTGGTTAGGGTAATCTTTAGCAATAATTATTGTCTTGTTATTGTGCCCCAGTATATGGTTGGGGCATTTCTCTAGGCTATGATTACTGATTTATTATGGCACTCGTTAGGCATAGTGGTTTGGTTGCATAATTTATTCACATAAATATCTATGCCCCTAGATAGTTGTTTTTCCCCCCTGACATTTATATATGGTGTGGTATATTGTGTGCCTCTTATGTTGTTGGAAATAGATTTAAAACATTCTTTTGCTCCTATATGGAAGGGTTTTAAACCTTATCCATAACTTGTGTAAGTTATCGACAAGTTTGTGACGTGTTTGTTCTCCCATCTTTTTTGCCAAATCTTCTAGTCATATTTGTATTTTTTCGTAATGTATATTAATATCCTTATAAGGGATATATTCAAATATGGGCATGTGTAATTTTTGTACATATTTGGTTCATTTGTTTGGCATTCTAATATATGCCCATTTACGACAAATAGTTTGTTGTTATATTTGCAAAACAGAGCAGAGTAGACTCATGGATATAGAAAATAAATTATAGTGAGGGAAGTCGAAGACGATGGTATAAGGATTACTTCCCTAATTTTCATACAAATGAAAGCCCTTGGGCCAAGGATACTCCGAGACAAATTTGACAAAGATTGGCAAAGGGGTTCTTGAGATATGGCCCATATTCCAAAAAGTTGATGCACACCACACAAATGGCCATAACATTAGCTCTGAGCCTTCAGCTCAGAAGAGCTAATAAGTCCTCATATTTCAATATATCATCCGTCCTAGTTTATTCATTGTGTATGTGTATTTCAATTATATTTTCAAATTTTTATTCTACAGTGAAATGGAAAAATATACTGTGGTACATGTAAACAGTAATGCTATATAAAGATCTGATCATGATGATCCTTTTTTACACAATAAAGGCCTTACCCAATCCACAAGGAGAGCTCCAACATCTCGGGTTGTCCCATCTGGTAGTCTCTGGTTCTGTAGTCCACATGCAAGCTCTGAAGAAAAAAAAAAGAAAACAATTATCTGGTCTTGACCAAATTTTGGCCAACAACATCAACTCATTGTCAGTAAAATTTTAAGTAACCATCACATCTTTAGTCTTACAGTAAAATAAAAGGTCTTAGTTTTTCCCATCATTGCCTTACCTTCATGAATAGGAATAAGCTTGTCAATGGGACCAAATATCTGGCTTAGTTCCCAAGCTGTCATTAGTTGTAACTTCTCCATGGAATCCCGGTATGTCTATAATAAATTATTGGTACCATATTTCAAAATATTTTTTCTTGTAACTATGATCTGCATGCCCCTGCTGGCATTCTTTTTAAATACACTTTCAAAAATAGAAACGCATAGTAAAATTTTAGCGAAACAATGAACATAAAGGTTACTTAGTAGAATGATGTACTGATAATGAAGAAATGAAGTAAACAATGGGTCTACAACCTAACTGCAGGGGTGTGCAATTAAAAAAATCAAGTACTAGCCCACGGGCTTGTGGCAGCAATAAAGTTACTAGCCCCAAGTAAAAAGTTACTAGCCCAAATGCATGGAGGAAAAATTAACAACTAAATAATATAGATAGTTTTCAGTAGGCCCAAATTAATGAGTTATCCCCCTTTGGCCACCATATTGGAGGTCAATATGCTCATATTCCTTCATTATTCAACCAACTCTAACTTTTTATACTGGCCATTGTGGGGTAGGAAGCATTGTTTTTCTGAAAAATATACATTTGTTAAAGCCTCCTTTATTTCATTATTTTTATTCTATAAAGATTTTCCCCCAAATATTTCTGCTACACCCTCTTAGATTTGGTAAGACGAAGAGGAAAAATTAGCAGGTTGACCACCAAGAGAAATAACTCGGAGAGAAAATACGTCATATGAAAACTATCTATTGAAAAAAATAGATTACTGTTGAAAAGTCAGGGTTTTAAGGTCATTCTTTTTAAAATTAAAGTTTAATTCTCACTGTCTAGTAAATCTGGATCATGTATAAATTAATAATTATGATAGAAAATAAAAATGAATTTTAAATTTTTTTTTCCTTTTTCTGTGCATTGCACTAGCTCATCTAAAACAAAAAGAAGTCATTTTCTTTCATCTTAAATTAATAAATACACTGGAAATATATTTTATGTAAATCACATAACACTTATCTTTCAGTTGATTGAGTTATCGTAAATAATTTAATGAGATATCTGCCTTTATTTACCATAAACACATGAATAGAGGAAAATTGGATTAGAAAAAAACGATCGTTCTTGGAAGTAAATAAGTCAGGATGTGCTGCAAAATGATAAGATTATGGAGATTTACGAACAAAAGGAGCATGCTGCCTGGACATTTTTCATTGGTTGGGAATTTAAAAGCAAAAAATGAGTGAAAATACCAGTAGTGATTTTTATATATTACATTGGCATCTTTAATTTTTACTACCCTACAGAGCTACCTGCATGCAGTAAACCACTAGCCCGACCCCAAATATGGTAGCCCTGGGCGTCGGGCGATGCTAACTGCACACCCCTTCTAACTGTCATAATTACTCAAGTTACACCATATTTATAATAGTTGTATACACTCTGGCTAATAAAATAAGAAAAGATCATTTTAACTGTTATTGAAAATATTGAAATACATATCATAATACAGTTAAAAATTTCACAGTATATTGCAATACTAAATTCCCAGCCAATACCCAGCCCTAATGACAAAACTATTCTATTTTATTTAGGGTATTCTTCCTATTATGCATTTCTTTTTTTGAACAGTATACTTGAAGAACCAAGGATGTCAACAATCTGCATTACCTGAAATCCTTTCACATAAGTCTCATCTTTTCTGGCATAACAGTGCTTGAGAAGTTTTTTTAATGACCTCATCAAATTTTCATTATTTCTTTATATCTCCCAATAAAGAGAATGTAGGTCTTCACTTGAAAAAATAAATTCTCTTTGTGGTAAATATGATTAAAACTGACCCACTGGTTCCAGGGAATACTGTATACTGGGTTTTTTTTGGCCCTGTGTTATTTTTGCACTTTTACACTTGCAAACAATTTTCCCTTTTAAATTCACCCAGTCACTGTTCTATTTAAGAAATTATACTGTTTTCTTGGAATCGCCTGGTCTTAAATTCACCCACTTGGGTCTTGCGTGAAAATTTCCCTGTATTCAGTATGTCAAAAATATGAAGACAGGACAGACAGTTGACAGGTGATCAGAGAAGGCTTTGAAATGTTTTTTCTATATTTTTTAACCATATGTTTTTCTATACATTCGTATGTAAAATTTTGATCGTCCATTGTGGCCCCACCCTACCCAAGGTGGTCAGGATTTGAACAAATTTCAATGTACACTATTTAATGAAGTTTTCACTTATTAATAAGTTTTAACTCTTCTGGCCAAATGGTTGATTTTCTCAGATTTTTCCTTATACTATGATTGCCTTTTGTGGCCCCACCCTACCCCCATGTGTCATGATTAGAGCAAATTTGAATCTACACTACCTGAGGATGCTTAAACTAAGCTTCTTCTTTTCAATTTTCATGACACCATTATTGCAAGATAATTATTTGGAATAATTTATAAAACGAAGCCCAAGGGCTTTAACGGTCACCTGAGTATAAAACAACATTGTAAAGATTCCACACAAATACAAAACTGGAGGTACTGTGATCGATATCACAAAATAAATTTCCTGCAAATAAAATATATTTACAGTATGACAGAAAAAACCCTTTGCATGAATTTTCCATTGTGTAACAGTTTTATATTGCATGTAATTCCAATATATGTTCTACTCAGGCTGGTATCATAGAATATGACCCATACCATGAACTAAAACAAATAATACACACACATTTTTCAAGCAATTCATAGATGCAATCTGCTTAAAAATTAATAAAAATAAGGACTCAGTGATTTAATTCTAAATCTAATGATTTATTTAATTTAAGGAATGCCTCACCTTTTTGACAATGGTCAAGTCTTCTACCAGATCATTTTCACCTTGATACAGCTCATATATTGCCTGTAAAACATGAATTCAGTTGTCAAAAATAGTCTAACTAGGCCAGCATTTTTTTTATTTTTAGGTTTACGAACACCAGAATGAAAAAGTCCTGTAGGAGGAGGAAATAAAAAAAAAATAAAACTATTTTTTTAGATAAATTATTGACTTTTGTACATTCATTTTTGCTTCTTTTTTGATGCTCTCCTAACAGGCTCCTCGCCACTGACCACACAATGGTTACAAATAGGAAGGTAGAACCTGATATTGTTTATTTCATCGTCTGCTAGTTGGGGCCAGTGATATAAATTTTTGAGATGTTGGTCAAAATACAAATTTCAAAAAATCAATTTTTTTTAACTATTTCAATATATCTTCATTTTTTTAAAACAATTTTTGTTATGTGAATGTGTAGAAATTGTTCTAAAAATATACTAGACACCTTAGGTAAATATTCCTATCATATAACAGACAGGGAGTATTGGGGATGGGGTCAAAATTTTTTTCAATTAAGTGTAAAATGATTTTTCTGGCTGCCCCATTCAAAAACGATACTACATGCCTGTTTATATTTGTATATACTTGTTTTCTTTAATAGCTAAAATATTTCATTTCTTTAGGCTATTGTTTATCTCACCCACAAGCCACAAATGGACTTCATTACATCTGATGTATAAGCTACCCTTTTCTGAAGAATGTTGCTTAGACTGTACTTTGTAAGCTTTAGCAGAGACCTAAACAATATCTCTGGCTATAGGCCTAGCTACCATGAACAGTTTTTAACCTGTGGGAGGATATTTATTTACATGCAGATACTTTTGAATACTGATACATAATTATCTCACCAACATGTCATTATGCAACAAAGTCGTCAGCATTTTATTGTCCTCTGAATGGGTGAAAACGTTTCGAATGACACTCCTGTCAACAAATTTTACACTAAGCCAAGCTATGATGCTGCTATGGACTAAGGCTGTGTCTAAGCAGATCTACATTTATTTATCTGCCATGTTTCTTAAACCGGAAGTATGAGTTCTTAAATTTGAAATCTTGATCCCGACTCAAATTCAACATCGGAAAGAAAAAATCCATTTTTCTCAATTTTATTAATTTCTGAAAATTCAAAAACTTGAGCGGTGGGTTTGTAAACCTAAAAATAAAACTAGAAATATGTCCATAGGACATGAATGCCCCGCCGAGGGTATATTAGTAATGCAACATTTTAACACAAATTGAGAAAAGTGAGGTCAAGGTCAAAGGAAAGGTAAAAAAATATTGAAGCAGTTGAATAGCTCTCATCAGTATGTATCGGCATGTGAAGTTTGACACTAATTTAAGAAAAGTGAGGTCAAGGTCAAAGGGGAGGTCAAGGTCAAAAAATGTTGATGCAGTTGAATAGCTCTCATCAGTATGTATCAGCATATGAAGTTTGATAACACTATCTTGAATGGTATCTTTAAAACTGAGCTAAAAATTTATTTAAGAAAAGTGAGGTCAGGGTCAAAGGAAAGGTCAAGGTAAAAATATTGATGCAGTTGAATAGCTCTCATCAGTATGTATTAGCATATGAAGTTTGATAACACTATCTTGAATAGTATCTTTAAAACTGAGCTAAAAACTTATTTAAGAAAAGTGAAGGTCAAGGTCAAAAAATATTGATGCAGTTGAATAGCTCTCATCAGTATGTATCAGCATATGAAGTTTGACACTAATTTAAGAAAAGTGAGGTCAAGGTCAAAGGAAAGGTCAAGGTCAAAAAATGTTGATGCAGTTGAATAGCTCTCATCAGTATGTATCAGCATATGAAGTTTGATAACACTATCTTGAATGGTATCTTTAAAACTGAGCTAAAAATTTATTTAAGAAAAGTGAGGTCAAGGTCAAAGGAAAGGTCAAGGTAAAAAATATTGATGCAGTTGAATAGCTCTCATCAGTATGTATCAGCATATGAAGTTTGTTAGAAATATCTTGAATGGTTTCATTAAAACTGAGCTAAACACTAATTCAAGAAAAGTGAGGTCAAGGTCAATTGAAAGGTCAAGGTCAAAAAATGTTGATGCAGTTGCATAGCTCTCATCAATATCTATCAGTATATGAAGTTTGATAAAAATATCTTGGATAGTTTCTTTGAAACTGAGCTTTGAACAGAGCTAAACGCAAAGTGTGACGGAAGGACAGACGGAAGGTCGGAAGACAGACATGACAAACACTATATGCCCCGGCCATATTCATGGCGGGACATAAAAATGCTGGCCTTACAGGAAAACTTCACATGTGTACCAGTCATCTGCTTGAAAATGCCATTTAATTGATAACTATTAATAGAGTATAATAGAATACCATCCAAAATCTATAAATGTCCTCTTTGATAATTTTGTCAAAATACAAAAGTCAAAATTGTTGGATTTTTTATCCCAGTGCATACCTGGTATATATTTCACAGAAATAAACTTCCTAGGCACTAAACATTCAGGTGCGAGACTGAAATCCATCATTCTGAATAATGATGGATTTTGTGGCATGTTTACTTACTATGTATTTTTTCCTCATTCTTGTTACTATGACTTACTATCATTACATTTTCATTTCCAACTTGATTCATTTGCCCCTGATTTTACCACTATAAGAGAAGTGTATAGCAAGTTTCATTTCATCCGGGTCACTACGGTAATTATTGCTGATCACGTGCACTAGAACACAAACATAGAAGGAAAATATTATTTTATCAATAAAACATTGATTTTTAGTAGAACTGACTGTGGGAAAAAAGATATTGAGGGTAAAATACTTAAATAGTAAGTGATTGGGACTTCAAAATTACTTTGACATATCCATGGTATTCGAGATATCAGTGTTCAAGATACCAAAGTTCAACTTTAAATGTATTTTGGATGAATTTGAACAAACTGAATTTACACTACCTGAGGAAGCTTCCATATTTCTTTATTTCTTTGACTAATCATGACTTTAGTAGATTTTTCAAGAATTTTTCCTATATGTTTGATTTTCTATTGTGGCCTTGCCCTACCAGTGGAGATATTTGTTGAACACACTTGAATCTACAATACCTGAAGATGCTTCTGAATTCATATGACTAATCAAGGCATTGCTGTTATTGACAGTGATTTTTCTACATTTTTTAAAAGGGGCCTGGGCCTTTACAATTGGGAAAAATCATCGACATTTGCATCAAATTGGGAAAAATCAATAAGATACCCTCAATTGACAGGTAAAATAAAATATATAAGTAAATGTAACATCATTTATTCAAAATATTTACTATGAAACAACAAATTTGACACAGTTCTACATTTCAAACTTTTTTTAATCTTTGAAAGTTGTCATTGTGACCGTCCTATATTTCCATTTTTTTTTTGGCCATAAAGATATACATAATAGGATATCCTACTCATAATAGCCATTGAAGATGGAATAATCTGACATGATTGATGATGAAGTCATTATTTTCTAACTCATTATTAAACTTTCTAAATTACCCTTATCATATTGCTGTAATTACCCTGCAATATTAATTAGTACTTGGATTTACAAATAAAGCTATGTTTGGCTGGTTCACATGCATCTTGCACTTTCTTACGATGTATTTACACACAAGTTTGACTTGATCCATACACAAAAAATAATCCAATCTTCCTCTCTATTATTTTTTTATTATATCTCTACTGTTATTACTCTATATAAAATTAATACCATAAAACTGTCTATTTCCCTGAGAAGATACTATTTCTGTCATCTGAGGACTACTCCCTGAAAAATCGGAGCTACTCCCTAGGAACACTCCCTCATGAATATTTATTTATAATTTTAACCAATGAAAATGAACAGTGGATGGAGCGTTCAAGGAATCTCAAGTCTGTGACGTAATATTATTAGCAATGTAACTATGACATCAAAACATTTCGATATGCGATGTCAAAATCATACTGGAATTCTAGCAAAATGAAGACAACGATAATCCTTCAAAGAGTCAGGGAAATTATCTTATATTTTTTGATAATTTTATTTTCCTCGGTATTGATGCATTAGTTATCTTACAATATTTTTAATGACATGCATTTGTGATTATTTAAATGCCTCTATATTGTTTTAAAAAATGTCTGAGTCTCTACTTTAATAAATCGTCCATGATTGTTTCGGTATAATTATAATAAAACATTTATGGAATGGGTATGAGGGAAATATCAAATTTATGGTTCCCTTCGACAGGAAACTAGTTTCCTCCCTTGGGGAACCATAAATTTAATATTTCCCTCATACCCATTCCATAACTGTATAATATTATATGTTAGAGTCTGAATGACCGAGAACAATAGCATTCCATTTTAGATAAGTTATACGTAAAAAAATCAAAAATTCAATATAACAAAAACAACAGACGTTTAATTTTGGGAAAAAAGCAACTGAGATTGGGAAAAAATTGTTAATTTTTTATAGGGGAAAGGGTCAATATTTGGACCTGAATTCATTTGGGTGTAGAAAAATCACTGACAGAGAATAAAGTTTTTATAAATATATCCTTTATTCCTTTGTATAACTTTGATACCCTGTTGTGGCCCCTCTCTACTCCTTAAGGGTCATGATTTGAACAAATTTGAATCTACAAATAACTGAGGATGCTTCTATATTAATATGAATAATAATGGCTTTGCTGTTCTTGCGAGAAGATTTTGAAAGATTTATCATATGTATTCCTATGTAAAACTTTGATGGCCCATTGTGGCCCCACCTTACCCCGGGGGTCATGATTTGAACAAACTTGATTCTACACTACCTGAGGATGCTTCCATATAATTACAACTAATCAAAGCTTTGCTGTTCTTAAGAAAAAGATTTTTAAAAATTTTCCTTTGCATTCGAATGTTAAACTTTGATTGCCCATAGTGACCCCACCCTATACCCGGGGGTCATGATTTAAACAAATTTCAATCTACAATACCTGAGGATGCTTCCATATAAATATGACTACTCATGGCTTAGCTGTTCTTGAGAAGAAGATTTTT